TAATAACTTTCCCTTTTGATGACGAGGAACCCACTTTGAGACTAATAATGGCTGGAGACGGCTTGAATGGGTAATGAAGCATGACAAACCTGATGATGACAAAACCTTGTCGAAACGTTGTACACTTGCTGTTATGTTAAACTTATATTAAAGTTTTGCTTCATTACCCATTCAAGCCGTCTCCAGCCATTATAGCATACTTCTGTTATACAAATTTGGAGAACAGTCACTAAGTATCGGAATGTCCCATAACATTTCTGACGTAATCTTTTGAATTCGACTCTATGTCTTATATATAACTTATCCAACTAAAATCTTATTATTTTACGACTGAAGATGTCATGTAATTAGTTTTATTTAAAAGCCAGATTATTTATCTTCCGAAAATTCGGATATGTCATTTTTTGCTAATCCTTTCCGCCCTACGTTTCATTAAAATGTATAAGATTATTTTTGAGAAAAACCCCACAAACAGATTAAAACAGACAAAATATGGAATAACATAGATAATACCCCCCTTTATAAATAAACTGGCACAGACAAAGATACAAGAAGACACAAGACTACAGAGAAACATCAAACCTAATAGCCAATTATTCGAAAACGATGGAGTTTCTGTTTGTTTTCAAATTTGCTTGATTTGTGTGTGTGATTGTTTGTTTCATGAAGGATGAACATCATGTTTAAGTATAACGTTAGGGAGCAGAATTAATTAGTGAGACTTCTTTTAAGCAATGATCCAGAATAATGCAATGATAAAGTAAAATTTAAGTAAATAATAAATGTGTTTATGACCCAGAATACTGCAATATGAAAATAAAAATAAGAAATGTTAAAAACGATTTATATCAAAATTAATGAAAGTATCTAACTACTGATACCACTATGTTTGTTTACGGTGTTGAAAGATATCTTTGAGTTATGGCTTATTTAGGATGTATTACACTGTATAGCAGTTACTTATAATATCTTTTAGTTGTTTTGCTATCATATATTATGCAGACCTTGAACTTAATAAAGAAACTAAATAGCATGCGTGAAGTTATTATTTAATAATTTCTCATCAAATCTTTCCGGTAAAATGTAGAATCTTCAAGAATAGTACTGCTCTTTATGTCTTCAGTTGCATTGTTGGTCTGTCGCTGGAAACTCACTTAAACAAGGGATTTATTGGTTAAAAAAGACGTTAACTAACTTAGAACTGAAGTTTTAAAATATCTACATTAGTTTTGACAAAGAGCAGCATTACTTTTTTAAGATAATTAAAGTCTACGCATATTTTTACTCTTAAATAATCACTACATTTAACATTTGCTACGTTTTTTTTATAAAGTTTATTTTTATGTTTTATGTATAAGAAAAAATTAATATTACATTTATGAAACCTAAGAATTTAATCGAATCTTGTTTGATGCAATGTATAAGTAAATAAGATGCTGTAACATAAAAGACATTGCGTGACATATTTTGATTCTCCTTATCACTTTTTGGTTCTAAATATGATTACCTAACAATTTCAAAAGTAGCCTCTTCATGTAAAAGAAGCCTCCAAAGAAAGCTAATTTTTGATATTTTTTTCACAGCTGAGTAGCAAGTAAACACGAAAAAAAAACCTATGCACGGAAAATTATATGTTCCTTCTATAATATCTTGGGCAATTTTTAAATATTTTATAGTGTAACATTTGTCATGTCTAGCATGTTTACACTTTTACTATTTTTAATTATTCTATAGTGTAACATTTGTCATGTCTAACATGTCTACACTTTTACTATTTTTAAATATTCTATAGTGTAACATTTGTCATGTCTAACATGTTTACACTTTTACTATTTTTAAATATTCTATAGTGTAACATTTGTCATGTCTAACATGTTTACACTTTTACTATTTTTTAATTATTCTATAGTGTAGCATTTGTCATGTCTAACATATTCACACTTTTACTAGTTGATGTGTGCTTAAAATAATGTTATAGAAACCAATAATAATCCAAATTGATTTTAGCCAATTACAATCTCTTTACGACCAACGTCTTTTTAGGGCAAAAATATCATGTTGTTATAAACTAAATTATTCAACAAAGGACCTAGCCTTTAATAATAGATTTACTTTAACAGCGGCTAATTCTTTTCTTCTTGGTTTGGGAATTTTTTACATTAGAAGTACTTGGTGATGAAAGAACACCTCCTCCGATGGCTCAGTAGTAAGCTTGCCATTTGTAATGCTGGAAATCGGTATTCGATATCGTGTTAGGACAGCGTACATAGACTATTATATAATTTTGAACTTAAACAACAGACACATGTATTTTTAACTAAGCTTTAGATTTTCTTTTGATGGTGCCCTTATGATTTTACCTGCTAGAAAGGGATTATTTTAGAAGTGATTTGAAAGCTTCTTGTCTTTTAAAAATATTATGTTACTCATAAAGTAGACAAAAAAAAGAATGCACGTTAGATAACGTTTTAACTCAAACTGTACTCCTGTTTTGGGTAAGTAAAATAGAAATAAAGATACATTACATTAGACTTATTATCTCAGAGTGTAACAAATGTGGTTGTTGGTGGAAAGTTATTACACTCTTTAGCTAATTTACTTCACTAATTTTTCTTTTTTTTTCTTTCACTGGAGATGGACGCGTGCGTGGCCAATTGTTAGCGTGCCAAACTACGAATATGCATGTCCGAATTGGAGTACAGTTAAGAAAAAAATGCCATCCGCACTTTTGAGCCATAGAAGAGTCATAAGGGCGGTGATCAAATACCTATCTTCAGTCGGATAAGAATTACAACGGAATTCCAGAAATATAAATATAACGATAACTTGTATTTTTCTCATTTCTCATTAATCGCAGGTTCACCCCTTTAACAGTTGCACTTTGACCATTAATACTGCTGCAACTTATGAATGTTAAGCTAGTATGATTTCCAAGAGATTTTCAGTTTCAGAATGGCTTTCTTATTAAGATCGTTAGCCACACACTCCTAATAGCATTCTCGTAAAAATTAATCTTAATATATTATATATAAATACACACACACACACACAGTTGCACATAAAAATATGTTAATGAAAGGTATAATAGTTAGCAAGTAAAATAATGTATAAATTTAATTTTGAGCAACACAAGTATTATATGTTTTTCGTTGTTGTTCTTTTAAAAATTAACTTTCTCTTTATGTTCATCGTCCATTAAATATAAAAGATACATAAATTTGATCAGTGGCTGGAGATTGTCGATGGAAGTATTTTAGTTCGTTAAATTTGATCATGATCAAATTTAACGACTTAAAATACTTCAACTGACAAGCTCCAACCACAACGACTTAAAATACTTCAACCGACAAGCTCCAACCACTGATCAAATTTAACGACTTAAAATACTTCAACTGACAAGCTCCAACCACACAGTTTATAACGCTAATAATCTTAGCTTCACCGACTTTGTTAGCCCAGAGAAAAGAGAACAACGCTTTGCTATTATAATATACTTTTCCTGCTTAATATTTTTTCTCTGTCTGTTTATATTTCTATGTCTTCTACTCGTAGCATGGTCTAGAAACGAAAGAAACAAGTTAGGTTGTTCATGTGATGTAATTCTTTCATCATGTATAATATAATATACTTTCTCTTATTATAAACTTGTCAAACAAAGGAGGGGTTGTTAAGATACGTGCTGACCCATATTGTTTTCACTATATAAGCGTTGATCTTCGAATTACAGGTTAACAGATTTAATTCTATATTCTTAAACGTATTTCATCTCAGGGAGTGGTAATTTTTCAACAAAGTCTGACATGTTGTCTAAGGTACAGTGCATTTTAAACTGAAATTTTAACCAATATGTATAAGCAGAATTAGCAATATATTGTCAAATGTTAAGGATTTTGGAAAGAATGACAAAATATATTTTACTACGTACTAAAGTATGGCAATCATTAAAACGAAAGCAATCTGTTAGACTTCACTTAATGAAGTACATAAGATAAGGTTTCGTACAAATAATTTAGTATAGCGTTTTCTAGCCAATTGTGACCGAAAATGTAAATTATCAAAACACTGCATACGTTTTATGTTCAAGAGAAAAGCTTTCATTCAACACATTGATACTTTCTTTTTCACTTACTGTTATTGTTAAGACAGAACAGTTTTAAGTTTTCTATTGAATTTAACTCTTTAAAAAGTATCAATAAAGGTTATTTATGTTTGATCATCTTAGGCCGTGATCTTGCTGTGTCTTGTCGCCGGAACTTTTGCCGGATACCTTCCTGCCGTTGCTCCTGCTTATGTAAGCTTTTTTAAAATATTGAAAATTCACAAATTAAAGCAAAAAAAGTTAACTTTCATAATATTTCATAGGCATTTAGTTAACTGAAGTTTACTATAAGTTATCAAATAACAACGTAATATTTTTCAGAAATGCAAAATTACGTTAACTCTTATTTCAGGATATCAACATCCCTACCCCTTACGACACTGGCTACGACACCGTCGATGAGTACGGCACCAGACAGAGCCGTCAAGAAAGTGGAGATGGTAACGGTAGAGTCCAGGGCTCATATGGCTACACTGACCCTTGGGGCACCAGCCGTCTGGTAAACTACGTAGCTTGAAAATGACATTAAAACCAATGAAAATAAAGTTTGTTTTTTTTAAGTTTGCTTCTATTTGATGATTCTCAAGCACAAAGCTATACAATGTGCTACCCGTGTTTTAACCACCGCGGGTATCAAAACTCGGTTTTCAGCATTATATCCCCTCAGACTTTCTACTGAACCACAATAAGACAATTTTTCAGAGAAAAGTTGGATAGGAAATAAATCTAATTACATTTTGGCGAACAGTTTTATTCTGATCTTGGTAAAAGTAAAATTTATGAATAAAGATATTTCGGCACAAGTATTGGAGAGTTTTCGTCTTTACCTATCGACTATTAAACATAACTGATTGAGGCGATACGTTTATTAGCAATAAAGTCATTCGACGTTTTTATTGAAATAAATTACTGCTACCAAAACATACAACTAAATATATATAAATATACAAACACTGAATTTTTGCTTTAATATCTGCGATATGTAGCCGTAGGACAAGCATTGCGATTTGGAAAACAAAAACAATTTAGCGTTTACAATGTGAATGGCAAACAAAATACACCAAGAGCACATTCAAAGCTAGCACGTTTAACAAATGTTCTTCTGAACGGAAACCGGTGGTTTAGAAAAGTAACCAGTTTTGTAAGGGTTTACTCCCAGCCCTGGAGGTATTTGCTGGGATAAGGCAGAGGAAGTGGTGCCTTAACAACGGGAGCAGCTACGGCAACCTTGGGTACAAGTGGAAGAGGAGCAGCCACCTTTTTCACAACGGGACGGATAGCAGCAGGAGCAGGAGCAGGAGCGGCAGCCTGAGAGTTGATTTCAACATCAGCGGGGTTCTGGTTGTCGGTTCCAGCTTCGTTTGTTGAAATCCAGGCACGGAAACCACCTTCATCTTCGCTGATTGAATATTTGGGTGGATGTTTTTCAAGGTGCTTTGTCCTTTTTACATTTGTTGTACTAATACGGATCTAAATAAAATGATCTAATATGCCGATCGAGCGTGTGTTAAGCTGCTGCCAAAATGTTTTTGAAATACTCAAGATTTGAGATGAAAAACACTTTTTACAATCAACAGTACAGTTTTATTTTATGTTATTCTTGCAAATAATGCCTATAGAATTTGTAAGCAGAAAACATTTGGCCGTGAAAGATTAACTTGCAAAATTCACGAGACTAAATAAATATAGAGCGAAAAACTATAACTAGCTGAAGTTTCTGTGGAAGAAACAAGAGCAATTTTAAATAGATCAGGCTGTAACTTACGACAGATTCATCGTAGAGCATGTTGAAGAGTGTCGATTAACTCTTACTTTTCTCTGTAAAATTTGCACGCTAGTTAAGTGTTGTCTATTTTTGAGGTATGCATTATTTTTTCATGTTTCAAGACGTCCAGAGATAAAGAAAATTTATAATTTTACGGACCTTATAAAATCATAAGCCCAAAGCTAGATACTAAGCCAGTTTAATTCTTAAGTTATTAGTTGAAAAGTAATGTTTCCAAACAAAAATAAACTAATCTTTGGCACCTTCAGAAATTTGTACAGTAATAAAGGGAAATAAATATCTGTTAAAAGTTACAACATAATTAAAACATCAATGTGTCATCGATGTCTTCACATGCTTAAGTCTGGCAAAGTTCGTCTTAAGTATTATTTTTCTATATTTGTTGTCCTTTCCAAAAGAACTTTTCATGGCTGATATAGTAATAACAATTCGTATGAAACATTTCATGGAACACTCAATGTTACTATCACGGACGTTTCATGGATACGTTATGTAGTATTTATAAAGCGTCAATTTTCATATAAAAATGATATAAAGTTAATTTTGATTTGTTTTATTACAGGGTTGGTCAACTTCTGCAACACAAAAAAAACTATACAGGATAATTCGCAATGTGTTTCTGAAGGTTTTTTACATTATACAAGATAACGTAAAAACCTTCAGAAACACATATTACGAATTATAACCATTCTTCACTGCTACATATATATATATACATATATTTATATTCTATTCTATTTTTGAAATATGTCTGGTGTGTCTAAACTGACATTTATTATATATACACGTTTACCATTCCGTGAAACTTTTCTACACCAAATATATTTTCCAATTTAAATGCCTGGTAATATATATATAAACATTTATGTGAATCGAAACTAAATTTCATCTAAATTAACTTGATTTCACATTAATATTTATTTATAACCAGAGTTCGTCTTATTCTTTTATTTAAGGTTTTAAGATACTTTGCGTTAAGAACCTTTGGTAATGAAATGAAAGAATCTACTGTTTCTATAACTTTCTCCTATAATGAAATAGGTAATAATTGAAACTAATATAAAAGTCCAAGCTGACCTAATTTCCCCGAAAGTGGTCGAAGGTCGCCTGGAGAGGGTCACCTGTTTTAACCACTCGCGCCACTATACAGTAGTGTGTTGTCTATCAGTCAGTCAGTCAGTAGACACTAAACTGACGTCACATAAGGGACGCTTAACATTGCCATTTCTATTGTTGTGACATCAGTAAAACGTGCGCATGCCATGAATTACGAGAAGAATTATGCACTATGTAAGCTACAACACAACATGACATATGTACTTCAAAAGAAATAAATAAAAATATTTATTACTCTTAATTTTGGTTTTATTTACTCTTGAAACAGAACACTTTCAGAGACCCTGCAGAATTTCATCTAGTTTTATCTGTTAGTAACTATAAAGTTTTTTTTTTTTGTAAATCAGTTCTTGATGGAGAAAGTTTTAACCGGGTATTTTTTTTTAAATCGTGTTATTCAAAATACAAAAGTATAACATGATGTTTTATATGAAAGAGTTGTCTTTTTTTTAGGCATTACTATAGAGAAAAACAAGTAAACTATATTTATTTTTTTATTACAATTATTTCTGCTAATAATATAAAACTTCCTTTTTCTCAAGCTAAAACAACTTAAATTAACAAGAAACCGATTTTAATTCAGTCTCTACTTTTTTCACATACAGTAATTGTCTTCTTGTTTGTTTGTTTTAACAGATGAAAACATTTCATACTATTTAATATTTTAAATATTCATTAGACAATGTTTTATGACTTTAATATCATTATTCTCTAAAACATTTTTGAATATAAATATTGTTGGTGATCTAGATTGACCATAATAAATCGTTAATTATACTTGACATAAGACATTAGTATTAGGCTTATTGTATTTTTAACACTTCATTCTTTATCTAGTCACTTAGGGATTATCAAGAATTTGAAAAGTGCGTAATAATAGTATTTAAACCACGCTATGTTCGCCATACAGTAGGCCTAATGATAATGTTTTATGACAAGTAAAATTAATTATAATCATGCTTTGCCGGCTCTGAAAACCCGTTCACAGGTAATAATAAAGTCTTACTGAGACTCAAACATTATTTAAAATTTTATTGACTTTTTCACTTAAAAGTTTAATACTGAATTATATGACACGTTATTATATTTTGTTTTTTTCTGTACAACACGTAATCTGATCAGTTAAAGACTCGAAAATTCAATTATAAAATCATCTCTTTAAAATAAAATTTACCAAATTAACATTCAAATTATCGCATTGTTTATATACAACTCACTATCGTAATTTTATATTTTAGCCTATTACGACGCATGTTAAAAACTGGTAAAATATTAGTGAAAATACACTGTACTTATTTGTCTGTGTAAATGCAAAGAAACACTAACAATAATTAATGGATTTATTTGCAATATTGATGTTATTTCTTTTCGACTTGTGTGATTACGGGGCCCAACAGCCAAGGAAGTAATGGTAAGAAAAGTTAAGGCTTGCAAAGATCGTAATAGAGATTATAGCTATGCCGCATAATTTAAATTGTTAACTTTATGTCGATGTTTGTTAATAAAACTTAAATCAAGTTACTTCATCAAATATATCTCTGCTATCTTTGTGATCCGAAGTTAAATTTTCAATTCATTAGTATAGGATATTGCGTTAACACAGAAGCTCGTAGAATAAGTATTTTATAATTGAAAAACTAATAGGCTTAATAAAATTTTTCTAAGAATTTCAATTAGTAATCATAAAATTACTAATCATGAGGATTTATATATTGCCTTGTATCAAATTGAGCAAAAGTAGGGTTTTACTGATATGATAGCCCCCTAGTGGCACAGCGGTATGTCTGCGGACTTACAACGCTAGAATCCGGCTTTCGATACCCGTGGTGGGCAGAGCACAGATAGCCCATTGTGTAGCTTTGTGCTTAATTACAAACAAACAAATAATTAAACTGATATGGTAAAACACGCAGTCTCTAGGGTATTCGGTTGCAAAAATACATTCATAAAACAATCCTTGAATTACATTTAAGCTTTGGCTAAATATTAAACAAGTAGCTGGTAAAAGGGAACGTTTTGTTGATAAAATCAATAACATCTCAGATTTTCTAAAGCGAAAAGATTGTTTCTGACCTTAACTTTCAAATCATTTTCTTTGCTTTCCGTAAATATAAAACTGTCCTAATTCATTTGGTTGAAGCTGCTTTTTAAACAACTGACAATTTTCTTTTGCTTGTAATATTAACCTCGCCTATTTACCTGAACCAAAATAACACGTTTTTCTATTCTAATTTGCTTTCAAGTTTCGACTAATTCTTCTGTATTTTCCACACGTGTTTATTTCCTAATGGGTTCCGAACATAACGGGGTCTAAAAATGAAACAAACGGAGTAGGTTAGTTATATGGATTAATAGTTTCATCATATACAATATACTTCTCTGATTATCGAATTACGCTAGCTTAAAAAAAGATATATATATCCAGAGGGGTGGAGTCGTTAAACAACGTAATGACCCACATTGACTTCTCTATATAAGCATGAGCCTGGAAATTGCAATCATTAACTTCAGTCAGTATTTCTAAGCGCACGTAATCTCAAGAAGTGGGATTTTACAAGAAATCTAACATGTTTTCCAAGGTATAGTTTAACAGACTCTTAACAGAAACTTCAAAAGTTTGCTTCACAATGTTAGCGTGTAGAATTTATAAAACATAATGTCAAATAATTTCTCTAGAACGATTTCTTTTTTTAAATTTCACTAATGACCATCAATACACTATAACGAAAAACAATGACTTTTTTTTTCTAAATTCAACTAACCAGGTCTAGTGTCTTACTGTAGCACAAATATTTTACCAGGAATCTGCATTAATAGTGATTGGCTACCCAGAACCAATCATACTGCCAAAAACTGTAATTTAACCAATCAAATGTTTGATGCCTTTCGATTTGATATATGAAAGATCAGCTGGGAAAAAGGATAAATGTCTTTGTTACTTATTTTTTGGAGAAAATAAATGCTAACGTTTTGTATTAGAATTAGAGCAATGAAATACCCCAATAACTTTTATTTATACTTGACCATCTTAGGCCATGATTTTGCTGTGTCTTGTCGCCGGCACTTTCGCCGGATACCTTCCTGCCGCTGCTCCTGCTTACGTAAGTCTAATTTTTTTTTTTTTTTTACATTTACCTAATTAAATTAAAGCATATACTAAGATTAGTGTTATCTTAAATATTTTTAGTTAATTGAAGTTTAGTGCAAGTTATCAAATAATGTATAACGTAGTCAAACCTTTAGATTTATAAAAGAGAAGTATAACATTAAATATCAAATTTATGTATAACTTTTCAGAAATTCTAGATTACGTTAACTCTTATTTCAGGATATCAACATCCCTACCCCTTACGACACTGGCTACGACACCGTCGATGAGTACGGCACCAGACAGAGCCGTCAAGAGAGTGGAGATGGCAATGGTAGAGTCCAGGGCTCATATGGCTACACTGACCCTTGGGGCACCAGCCGTCAGGTAAACTACGTAGCTGATGAAGGTGGTTTCCGTGCCTGGATTTCAACAAACGAAGCTGGAACCGACAACCAGAACCCCG